GCGACACGAGTCTGAGAGTGACTCGTGCCGGTATGTGGGCGAGGTCGTTGATCTCTGCGTGAATTCGTGCGACGAAATTTTGTCAGCGGAGCACGGCTTATTCGAATTTCACTTTTCGAGGAGAATCGACGAGCTGGAGATCTACCTTGCGAATTTCCACGCGGCGCCCTCCTAGCGAAAGAAGTTTCCGCGTGAATCGCCGACGACTACTAACCCAGATACGTTCCCGGGTCGTCGATCTTTTCCCTCCTCGGAGGAACGGCTGTACCAGATATATTAATTTCCTTCGGTTCGACCGCTTCTTGCGAGAATCACCGTCAGATAGGATCGCACGATTTCGGAATAGCTCACCTTTTTTAAACGCTATGGCGACATCGAGAAACAGTGTCGTTCGCTTCGTTAGATCGTCGGTTTAGACGTCGGTCATCCTGTTCATCCTTAGATATCTTCTGATTAACCAACTTTTCATCGGTGTCGATCGAATCACAGAATTTCGTAGAAACAATTTTCATTCGATACTTTGATCTCGAATATCCATATTTTCTGAACGTTAAATCGATATCGATCAAACGATATTCCATGGATACCTTTATTATCGGTTAACGACATTAGATACCTTCGAGTTACGATCGAAAGGGAAATCAAAGGTTCCCGATCCTTTGTCCTCGTAAAATGAATGACGGAAGCGCAACGTGTTGTCTCGTGGCTGGCAAGTTTCTAATCAGACGCGTAATAGCGGCCGCGAATAGAAAACCGAATGTGAACCGGAAATGCCGTTTCCATGGAACCCATTCGAACTATTCCGTGGTGTAGTAGGATACTTTAACTCTCGTACAACACTCGTAACTGTTACTTTAGAGAATAACGGGCCATACGGGCGTATGCGTGTTTATCGCGGCGATTGCGTATACACACGCGGCTTTCCGAGAATAACGGACAGAAATTCGCCTAGAATGAAATATTGTTGACTCACCGAAATGTTTCCGGGCTCTTTACAGATTTTATTTCTCTTTCGGATAGCGTATACGACTCGTGCGAGGGAATTCCTGGAAGATTCGTCAATTTTTTCCGGAGAACCTCTCGAAATTCTTTTACCGCGTAAAGTTGAACATTGAAAGTTTTACTGATGAACGCCTGGACGTCGATTATGGCGAAGATATCGCGTAACGAGGTAACTTGGATCGACTGACCAATTAGCGGATAAGTTGAGGATTCCGAAGGTTTAGAAGCTTACAGGATCGTCGCATCAAATATTGATTCGGTGTTCTTGACGGTTAAGAAAGGTCTGGACATCTGTAAGAAGGTCGATGCTTTGCCGAGTCACCGCGGTGTCAATGACCCTTAAGGCTTTGAACCGGGACATGTTGCGTTTAAGCTTTTTGTAGAAAGTGCTGTTATTCCACTGATCTTGCAGAGAACTTTACTTCTTTACGCGCGATAAAAAGCATCTACTATTTTCCGCGTGTAGCTGTTGGCGTCTCTAAAGAACTTCGCCTACGTTCCGTTAGTCGATTTGAATTTCCACGACTATCCTGTGCCACCTTGTTTACAAATAATTCATTGTCCAGACATTTCGATAATTTCAAAAATCAATTTCGATCGAGCAGCTGCAAAATTTCTCGTTCGATTAGTTTCAAATTGTGCAACGAGAAACGATTTTAACGAGAAATAATTCTCATTATTTCTCGATAGAACCGAAGAACGCGTCTTCCTTTGGATCAGCGTTATCGACGGTCGATTCTTAGCGAAAATCAAAGTCCCGTTTCCGGCGCGTTTCTCGGACTAGTCGGCGGCGCGTCTTTAAAGGCCGACGTACTCTCGGCTGGTAGCAAAATGTAAACCGGAAAAGCAACGAGCAAGTGAATT